CCCCCGTCACCCTGCGCCGGTCACCCAGCTTCCGTCACCCCGCCCCGTGACCCCACCCCCGTCACCCTGTGCCAGTCACCCAGCTTCCATCACCCAGCTTCCATCACCCTGCCCCCGTCACCCTGCGCCGGTCACCCAGCTTCCATCACCCCACCCCCGTCACCCCTCCCCCGTCACCCTGCACCCTCCATCAAAACATGCCCGTCACCCTGCCCTCCATCACCCCGCACCCGTCACCCCACACTTATCACCCTGCCTATCAAAACGCGCCCATCACCCTGCCCCCATCAAAACACGCCCGTCACCCCGAACCCATCACCCTGCCCCCGTCACCCCTCTGCCATCAAAATTCGCCCATAACCCTGCACTGCTCACCCCACCCTCGTCACCCCACCTCCCATCACCGAGGTGCTGTTTTCTTGGCGCCAGACCAGGTGGGATTCACACCTCGGGTGCACAGCTTCTGAGTCACTGTCAGTCACACTTGCAGCTGTGCGTGGCCTCACTCGGGAGCGGGACGGCAGAGCGCGTGGCGGTGACACGGCCCTCCACTTGTTCTCCGGGAGTTCTGATACCTCGAGGACATCCGGACCCAGTGTCTGGGTCCCGGCCCTTCCGTAACAACGTGGCTCCTCTTCAGTCACAAGGAGGACCCAACGTCGCACAGAGAGGTTTTCCGGAGCAGCAGAACCGGCAGCAGCAACGCGGGCACCTCGGTTCAGTCACTGCACGCGGAGCTCCGGTGGCGGGCCAGGCTGTGGCGGCTCCAGGCAGGTGGCGGCAGGGCCTCCGGGTCTCTGTCACAGCAAGGCTCTCCACTCGACCACCTCACCTGTTTACAACCTCAAGCCAGCCCAAATCCCAGGGGAACTCAGAGGGCGCGTTTCTCCCCAGCTGTATTCCCTAAGCCGGAGGGCAGCAGCAGAGCCCCGGCCTGACAACCACATGGCCACGTTCTTAGGGCCCCGGCTGCATGATGGTCACGGACGTTCAGTTTGCTTGGTTTTCAGCCCACGTCTCTGGCGCCAGGGCCTTGCTTGGCACCTGCGTGGGCAGCAACCACATGAAGCCAGTCTCGGGAAAAGTGTTGTGTAAGCAGCAGGGGCTCTTTAAAGGCACCGAGTCCTTTTCTTCAGCTCTTTATCTGTAACTCAGCCACCTTGCTCGGCGTGGTCCCCCAGTCCAAACCCTCAGACCTGTTCACAGCCTGCTCGCCCGAGGATCTCAGAGCTCCACTCCAACCCACACCCCTGCCTTTTACCAAATCCCAAGCCAGCGACAGCTTCAGAGTAAAGTGAGGAAAGCACCACCATGTACTCAGCGCCTGCTGTGGGCTGCACATGCTCACACATCTTCTTCCACACACACCAGCCACAAGGGCGGCCGAGAGGAGAAAAACGCAGCTGAGCTGTTTTCTCTCTAAGGAACGTAGACGTCAAAGCAAAACTGGAGCCCAGCACCATCTATCTGACAAACTCATCCTCCTGCCGCTCCACGACTGTGCGGCCCCAGAGGCCAGGCCCTTAGGCCCCCAAGAGGGACGGGGGCTGGCGCAGGCTGGGAGGCAGGGGACCGGGTGGGTCTCTTTGACCAGGGTGGTCTCGAAGCAGCATGAGGCTGGGCATCGTGGGGGTCTGGCTCTGACACCTGGGCAGCCCGCAGAGCACCCTGGGGTGCGACTGCTCAGGAACGTCCCCTCTCCTCAGCCACCCACAGACGCTGCTGCAACCGCATCCTCAGGGCAGCCAGCATCTGGCGGAGCCCAGCAAGAGGCCAGGCCCTCTCCCCCTCACAGAAACCTGGCCAGTCACACATGGCTGCCACCTGGGTGGTTAAGAGATAAATTATTCCTTCTATAACCAGAAAAGATAGTGAATCAACAGAAACAGAAATGCTCAGAATGAAACGTAAAAAATCAAAGTCAGTTGGACAGGATTCAGCAGTGCCCAGGAGGGCCTGGAACCTGGATCCCTGCGCTGGGTCCACAGGCCCGGCCAGCCCGGACCAGGGAGAGACAGACGCAGGCCCCTGACCAAACCCTGTGCTGCAATGCCTGTATGGTAGATTGTACATAATTTTACAATTGCTAAGAGCAGAACTTTTCACGCACATGAACATTATGTACAACTCAAATCTCGGTGTCTGAGATGAGGTGGAATGGACAGTCTCAGCACTGTGCCTGCAGCCGCTCCCCTGCTCAGGGCACAGCTGCACGACCACCTGGCCCTACGCAGACAGGTTCTGCACGCTCACCCTCCACCTTCCTCGAAGGACTCCTCGGGAAAGCGGCAGGCAGCTGTGGTCCAACAAGAGCCTGGCAAAGCGCTTCCCTCCCAGAGCCCCGTTTCCTCTTCCGCAAGACAAACACAACAAGCCTCCCTCCCCTGGCTGCTGTGAGGACCGACAGCCCCTCCTGGCACCTGCACCGGGGGCATGACACGCATCGCATGTCACAGCCTCCCATGTCCCCAGGGGGCCGGGACCAGAGCCTCACAGCACCAGGACACACCCATCCGGACACCAGCAAGCTGCCACCACAGATGGTTTGGGGAATGAGAAGCCTCCTGAGAGAGCCACAGTGTCCCAGGTGTGGGGCCGTGGAGTGAGGGTCTGGGCCTGGGCCCTGGTCGGGAGCTGAGCCATGCTCGGGCCATGAAGGACATTGCTGGAGGCCTGTTATAATGCAGGGCTGCTCGAGGTAAAAAAACTAAAACCACACCGTGAAATGCACACCACCCACCACACGCAAGCTGCAAGCTGAGTTCTAATGGGCTGGGGCTTCTAGGAGGGAGGGAAGCCTCACTTCCCACCGCACAGCCCAGCCTTCCCACGCCCGCTGACTGCCTTGGCATTTGCAAGTATGTCCACCGCCATCGCTTTTTCTCCAAAGCAGCCTCCAGATACACAAGCTGTTCAGAAAACCTCATGTGTAAGAGCAGAGTATGTCAAACCTCCATCTGTGCTCAGGAATTAGGACACCCTGGCTGCAATCTGAGCAAAAATGGCGCTTCCAGAGGATCATCAAATCCCGTGTCTTGGTTGGGGTTGGGGCCATCGACTTAAAATAGCTTCTGTTTATTCTGGTGAAGGAGCCACAGACGTCGCCCTAATTCTGAGGAACAGGCGAGGGCGGGAAAAGCAAAGGCAGATTCGCCCCTTTGTGCAGCCCCGTAAGTGACATCGTCCCTCCTCTACCTGGAAACGACGGCTTCCAGGCACCCGCTCCAGCACCCAGGACCAGGGCTTGCCAGGCGAAGTTTTAACCGGATGGATTTAGTGATAGCAAATAAGGAGAACAACACCCTCAGCCAGGCTACTGTGACTGGGTGTTACCAAAAAATGGCATTAGCAGGGCACGGGGCTTGGCCAGCTCCAGGCAGCCCTGAGTCTGCTCATTAATCCCCAGAGTCTTCCAGGGGGCCCAAGGCAGCTGGAAAGCTTTCTCATGACCCATGAGAAAGTCAGAGCCCTCCCAGAGGAGCAGAAGCTCTGCAGGTGACTGTTCAGGAAGCCAGTCTGGTCCTGACACTCCACAGGAAGAGAACTACACTCTTTAGACCAGGGTTTCCCAGGTGTCAGCTGGACGAGCACCCTCTGCAGGGCCCGTGGAAA